TTGCAATGGGACCAGTGCTGGACTGGATGATTCCAACACACCTGAAGCAGCACGGCCTCAGCTACTAGCAGGTTTAATAGAACTGCCCTGTTCCCACGTCTCATCCAAAACACAGCCCCTGTTTGTACTTCAAAATAGATCTTTGTAACTGTGACATAATGCTGCACTGGGGAGATGTTTCCTGGTAGTGGAAATGCAGCGAGGAGAAAATATAAATATATTTGTAGCTGGTTAATTTTTTTTTTCCTAAAGTGTAGAGAACAGAGTTCAAATAATTTTCAATCACAGCCTCTTAATTTCTCCTTCCTTGACCTTCTTGTTCCGTTTGTTATCCACTTTTATTGTTTCTTCCCTCTGCTTGCTGGGTTGCTGCAGAAGTCTGGTTCATCCTGCACAGTGTATTCATCACGTTGGTTCGGGTCATTAATCTCTGCTTTTCCTTCAAAAGTTAATACATGTTTAATGGCTCTGTAGTGTAATAGGCAGTAAGGCAGAGTATTTGACACAAGTCTGAAGGGTGATAGAATAATGCGCTTCCAAATTTATTTAGATATCTGTATTTCCTCTGAAAGATTTTCAATGGTCCTTCAATGATCTAATGGGCTTGTACAGTCTACGGTTGTTTTGAGAATAGAATTAAATCCACCCTCCTTAGGTAAAAAGTCAATAGCTGATGGAGAGGAATGAGAAAAAATATTTTTCTTATTATATTCCCTATTTATTTACTGTAGGACTTCCTATGATTTCCTCAGTGCACTTGTGCTGCAGCTCTGCTCCAGGCTGGGATGGTCGGGTTCCCTTGCATCCATCTGACGCAGTGGCATCTCAAAGGCTGTGATCAGGTGAGATGGGCACTGGGAGCATGGGGGGCACAGAGGAAGCTGGGGCACAATTCACAATCTGTATCTACATGCTGAATATTACACGTGCACTGTAATGCTGCAGTGCAAGAGCTCTGCTCTGAGCATGGATTGGAGCCCAGCAGCTTGGGTTATCCCAAGAAAGATGGCAAGGACCAACTTTAAGGCAGGGAAAAAGATACGAACGGGGATGTTCAGCTGGTGGGTTGGAAGGGGGAAGCTGTGGTCCCTCCTGCTGTTTGCTGGCAGATTTCAGATTGGATATTAAAGAATGTTTCTTCTCTGAAAGAGCGGTGATGCAGTGGCACAGCTGCCTAGGGAGTGGGAGGGTCTACATCCCTGGAAGTGTTCAGGAACCATGGAGATGTGGCACTGAAGGACATGGGCAGTGGGCATGGTGGGGTGGGCTGGGGGTCTTGGAGGTCTTTTCCAACCTCAACGATTGTATGATTCTATGATTGCCACACTCAGAGCACACCACCGGTCAGTGGGGACATCTGTCATTACTGCTACCTCAGGGAGGTGCTGGAGGGCACACTATGAGCACTAAGACTCAGGCTGCTCTGGAAAAATATAGAAAGCTGTGCCAAAACCTACTTAAATTTCCCCTCAGTAAACGATTCAGGCTGCACGCGGGGCTAATAGCCAATATACAGCTATTATTAAACTTTCATGTTATTTTGAAGGTAAACAGCATTTTGTTTTGTTGCAGTTTTAATTTAAATTAAGGTCCATAATTGGATAGTGCAGAACAGCCTTCTGTTTCAGGAACATGATAGCAGTGAATCTGTCTCCTCTCACAGAGCAGAGGCTTGCTCTTATTTGCACTGAAAAAAAGAAAGCAAAAAAAAAAAAGAAATGATAATTATTGTGAAATAGGTCGTGTGGTTTAAAAAAATGTTTTCTGCTTCCTCAGGTGTCCCATGCTCCCAGGAGAGTGGTATCAGGGGACAGCTGTGTCCATGTCAAATGTACAGAGCTGAGGGCCAAAGGGTAATTAAAAACATCATGAAAGTAATTTGGTCACTGATTAGTATGTCCCGGGCATCTTAAGGAGCAAATACCACCATGGTTTTTTCCTTTCAGGAATCCAATGCTAACGGGACAACAGCTCATCTACGCAAAGCCCAGACTGCTCTCAATTTGAAAAAAGCCTGTAGCCAAATCTGCTGCAATTTTAGAACATGACCGCTATTAATGTCACTGTCCAAACAGCTTGTAGCTTAGGGAAAAGAGAAAACTGCAGTACCAGTTCATTTGTGGGAAGATCAGAGGAGCAGCACCGTGGCCATGTCTACGTGCCTTGGAGGGATCTGCTGTGCCGTACAACCAGTGCGTTTCCTCTACTGATGTACAGAGCTTATATGCACGTACAGGTATGCCTCACTGTCACAAAGATCGTAAAAGGACTGGGGCATCTAACGCCCCAGTGGCACAGCTGGGCAGGAATGGTGGGATCACCATTCCTGGAGGTGTTTCAGAACCATGGGGATGTGGCAATGAGGGATGCGGGCAGTGGGCATGGTGGGCTGGGCTGCAGTTGGGCTTGGGGATCCTGGAGAGCTCTTCCATCCTGAGTGATTCTGTGATTCTATGATCTCTTATAGAAGGACAGCCTGGAGAAGGCTGGGGAGGATCCCATCCACGTGTATGAATACCTGATGGGGGCAATAAGATGGAGCCAGGCTCTTCTCAGTGTTGCCCCAAGGGGCAGGAGGCAATAGACAAAGATGAAAATAAGACAAAAGAGACCAAAAATTCTTATAACAAACAAACCAGCAAAATCAATCAGGAAATTCCATTTAAACATAAGAAAACCCTTTTTTGAACTGAAACCATGTTTGAGCATGGGAGCAATTGCACATTGAGGCAGTGGATTCTCTGTCCCTGGAGATGGCCAATGCCAGGCTGGAAGCACTGGACAACCAATTCCAACCAGCCCTGCTCTGTTTGGACCAGACATTCTCCAGAGCTGCCTCCAGACTCAGTGCATTTACTTTATGTTTCTGTAATGATTCTATAAACTTTGTTTTTCCAAAAACGATAGTGGGTTTATCCTGCACAACTTTTAAATCTGGTAGCTTGTTACATTTTGTAGCTTCATTTTGGTCCATGGGAAGCATATTCCTGTGGATGAAAGAGATGCAGGGTTTATTAATCTGTCCGTTTTACATTAGCTATCTGGGCAAAATGATAGGCATTTCTTATTTGAAACTTGTTATAGAGAAACATATGGTCACGTACATGAAGTGAGAATAATTTCAAGTTTGAAATTCCATCTAGACGCCGACATGAATACCCAATAGCAACAAAGGAAATTTGAAAGCAGTTTAGACTAAGCCTGGGGTATAATAATCTGCAAATGAAATGCAAATTCCTCTCAGCAGGAGTGCAATATGCTGTTGTCTCAACAGGGGTACTATTTACTGTTGCTTTGGAAACGTGCAGGAGGGAAGCATGGGCCATTGCTTTGACAGAGGGTAAAGGCAGCTCGTACCTTTCTTCTGCTTGACTTCCAAACCTGGCTTTTGGAAGTGGGCTGTTCACCCTAATAATAAGATGAGTTGTGCAATAATTAATTGCAATTGCATTCATATAAAGCCCTGTGGAAACCTCTGCCCACTTCTGGCCCTTCATCTCACACATTCAGAACTGCCATCCTGATTCCCAAGTTAAAGCAATCTTAGAGATATCCTCATTGAGGAGCGATGCTTAAACACTCCTACATTCCTCAGAGCTGAACTCTGAGTTCAGTGTAGGTTTGACATCCCTCTATTGCTGCTGGATTGCTGGTAGGTGGCCTGATGGCTCTTTCATCCACAAACATTCCTCCCTTCAGCTGCTGGTACACAGCACTGTGCCCCGAAACCTTTCCCACCTCCATCTTTATGACCACCTAGAAGGATCGTGTAACTAGAACTGCAATCTGCAGCTGATAGCGATAGAAAAGGAAATTAGTATCCTGCATTTAATTAATATTTGCACCGAGAGAATTGTTAAAATCTAGCCAGCTGTTACCATCCCCTTTCATTACTTTAAATGTTGATAACATTTGTCTCATGTACCAAAAATACTTCAGCAACCAAAGCGCTCATGAAGACCGATGGTGGAAAGTGAAAGGGATTGCATTTATCACAGCCTCGAAGCTGCAAGTGCAGTAAGTGTGGATGGGTGTGAGTTCTACTGCACCATAGAACAGAATCAATACCCGTGCTCAGTGCTTCAATAATCTCAGAAAGAAATTGGCTCCCACATTCAGGGAAACCAAGCTCATTTCTGAAGTGACATTAATTGTCATTTCTTAACTGATCAGGCAGAAAAGCCGAAAGAATAGTAACAACAAAAGGCTGTAGGGAGATATGCTGTCTTAAGCATGTGGAGGATATTCCAGAATTAATTTCAATTTAATTTAATTTCTTTAATGAATCTGGCTGCTAGAATGGAAATAGAGCTCAGTTTTCTACATTTTCTTTCTGAATCTCTTAGGTACTGTAAAAACATGACATTTTTCTTTGTGCAGTGCTTTGCATGGCAGAGATTTTAGAATAAATAAGTGCATTATGCCATCCAGTGTCATTAAGTGTCATAAATCATCAGGATTGCTGTTTGAGAACTAGAAGTAGGTAATATTCCATAAAGTTAATTTATAAAAAAGGCTATGAACTCTATTATTGCCTGCTAAATTACTCCATTGACACCAAATATTTTGTGTGTAAGATTAAAAAAAGAAAAAAGAAAAAAAAAAGAAAGAAAGAAAAAGACAACTAGATGATAAAACAAACCCGAAGTTGTAACAGCATGGCAAAGTTCATCATCGTGTGCTTGAATATCATACTTCAGAATTTACTTCCTTTGTTGCTAAATAGCACTTGTTTGCATGTCTAACGTTCACTGTTCCTATTGCAGGTTGGCAGGTCCCTTAGCTGAGGCAACCACCCCCTCCATTCTGTGGTTCTACGGGCCCAGGCTCACAATGCAGCAGAGCAGAGGGTTGGTGTGCTGACAGGTGCGTGCTCCCATCCGTTGGTCATCCCAAGAGCTCACCCATGGGCATCGGGATGCTGTGCTGCCCCTCTCTTATGACCATTTCTTCGTATCCACAGTGCCTGCTCTACTACAGCCAGACAGCAGCAGCACGTACAGCCCCTGACAGCTCACAATGAAGTAAGAAACTAACAAGTGACATGGGAAAGCAGGTAGCTTAAGTTAACATTCATAACAGAGAGACTTCAGGCAATGTGGACGTTTCCTTCTTAGAACAACCCAATTGCATTTAATAGGCAATAATTTCTGTTTTGTGGTACGTTACTTATCACTTCTATCGGGGTAATCACACAGGCTGGTGGCTCTGTATTTGTAATCCTGCTCCCACCTTAGAGCAACACGGCTATTGAAACGTATCTGTCTCCTTAATATCATCATTTCTATAAATACAAACAACAATCTTCCCAAAAGCAGATAATCCCCACCACTGTAACGACAAGACATTTTTCCAACTGCTTCACTGAATTATCATAGTACAAGAATGCTTTAGCCATTGGAAAACAAATCTTCAAAGGACCTCAGGAGGGAGGTCAGTTTTTCCATCTCCCTGCTCTGAGACATGGCCAAAAGCTTCTAAGGATGTTTTCATCAAGCATAAGGTAGTATGGTGACGTCGTGGTTGGGCTTGATGATCCTTAAGGTCTTTTCCAATCTGAGTGATTCTATGATTCTGTGATAAAGAAATGCTTTAGTACCACCACTAAAAATGATTTCACAGCCACACATTAGAACATCTCAGATAGTTTCATTGTCCACACAATGAGAAAAATATTTAAGAACACTAAATCCAGGACAGTCCTTTGCAAGGCACATTTCCTATGCCCGCTGATAACCAGTCTCCAGTGCATGAATTGAAGACCCATCAGTAGTCATTCATTCAAGGGAATATCAGGTGTGAATATGTAAAAAGAGCTGCTAGAGCCAAAGCAGCAATTCCTTCTCTCCAATTACTCTTTTGATAACACAAAATGTGTTGGCTTGACACTGAGAAAAACACACTGGATGTTATGTCATCTCTCCTTCACCTAGCACTTTTAAATAGATTGCTAAACAATGCTTCACTGTCCTTCTCTGCAGAGGTTATGCTGGTAAGTCTACAGCTCTGTCTCCTTATCTGTTGTCTTTTCAAAGAGAGGTTGTGTATTTCTTCCTTTCTGTACTTTGGGGACCTCACCTTCCCTGTCTGAGTTTTCCACAGTAGACATTAATGGCTCAGAAAGTGGTGTGATTAATTCCTTAAGCACTCAGATGGGTTTCACTAGGCCTTGATGGGTTGAATAAATACAACCAAGATAAATATTGTTGCACCAATCCTGAATAGTGTAGTTGATTGCTACATTAATATTTATTCTCAGGAACAACTTACTAGTATTTGTATTTTTTTCTATGAAGATTGAGGAGAAAAAAAAAAAAAGCTCTTTTAAACATTCAAGGCTTCATGGTTTTTTTTCTTGCTTGCAAAATAACAAAACTACATTTTTCTGTCTTTATTCTTAGTGTTTTACTGCTACTTTCTCTTGTTTTTCCTCCAGCTATAATTAGTTTTGATCCTTATTCTTCCCATTTCTTCACCTTTCGTTTTTCTTCCATTGCTTTCTCCTTGCCCTGGGGGTGAGAGTTGGTGAATGACTGCTTGCACAACCACACATTTTCCAGGCTTCCTGCAGTGGCAGAGAAGTCAGAGCTAGAAGTGTGGCCATGGTCCCATCTGTCTTTAGGAGTGCAGAAGCTGTAAGTACAGCTCTGACTCTTAAGGGAGGCGGTGGGATCGCCGTCCCTGGAGGCGTTCAAGGTGGTGGTGAAGGGGCAGTGGGCATGGCAGGGTGGGCTGGGTTGGGCTTGGGGATCTTAGACAGTTTTTCCAAGATGAATAACTGCATGGTTCCACATCTCACTCAGCACTGGGCATTCATTTCCACTGTTCCCGTAGGGGACAGCTATACATTGCATAGGGGATAGCTAGGGCAGGATTGACCTTCACATGGGAGCAGGCTCCTTCAGAACAGGGATTTGGGTGTAGTAATTATGTTTTTCCTGGGCACCGAAATCAAATTCCTTGCTGATACCCTCTTTGCCCAATTTGACAAGAAACTGTCATTTGACTGGCAAATTAAATAGAGACTTTTGTTTCATTTTCTCCATCTCCTCGGGACATTTTACTTAGTAAGATTGTGTAAATCCTCTAAATGAAAAGGATTTTGTACAATGTTCTTAGCATTTGTTTTTCTCTCTTTCCCTCTTTTCTATCCTGGATTAATTAATTAAAATAAATAACTTCATTATACCCATTGAATAGAAAACATATCCTTAGGATATCATTTCTCCATTCCATATATTCATTGAATTTGGCCTCAGAACCTCACTTGGCTCATCCCAACTGAATTCTAGAGGCAGATGCTTTTCAACTAGCGCAGATCTGGCTACCAGCACTGTTCAACACACGTTTTTATTTGAATGTGAAAAAATTCTCCAGCCAAATGTACTTGAAATTCATACAAAGGCCTCATAGTCACCAAAGTTCCACTACTTAAGTTAAGTAATACTCTTTCCATTGCCAGATTTTAAAATTCACACCTCCTAAGACTTGGGAGGGAGTTGTCATGTCTCTTGTATTAAAGCTGTATGACATTAATATATAATTTAACCAAGAATTTGACTGTTCTTGAGTAGTTCCAGTAATATCAGCAGTGACATTTTTTGCATAAATCTTCTCTACATTTTAACGCTCAGGAGAAGTTGGAGGAGTTATTATGTATAATACACCTTGTTTTGTATGTTTGAACAGTCAAAGGATGAATCTGATTCATACCCTGGAGGCATTCATCTATTAAAATGCCAACGTAATGGATCTGAAAGCTTTGGCAGTGAGAAGAATAGGAAAATTTTCCTTTTTTTTTTTTTGAGCAAGTAAGATTGTCCTTTCCTGAATATGATGGATCATCCAGAACAGAAAATGGGAATTGATACCTAAGATTTGGCTTTGTTGCAGTTAAGTGAAATTTATCATGCTCTGCAGCAGGAGAAATTATTGTATTTTTTCTCGCAGTGCATTTAAGGCACCTGATAATTTAAGAAAGAAAATACGAATTCTCCTGGAACACGGAGACAAAAAGCTTCCCTGTAGGCAACCGATTACTGTGGTTTTCTCCAAGTTAAAAGAAGGCTTAAATATTGACTGTATTGAATTTATGGACTTCTGTAGAGAAAAAAAAATATGCTCCTATAATCCTTAGACAGCTTTTCATATAGTTTACATTTAAATATTGTCTGTAACAAATTCATTTTTTCTCTGTTTTATGTGAACTTGGAGCATCAGTCTGGCTGATAAGTGAAGATGGCACTGATCTATCACATTTCTGTAGGGGCAAGTGGACCATTCTTACTACAGACAGAGATGCCTTCCATTTCAGAGGAAAAAAAAAAGTGTAGGTAATACACATCTCCAACCCTTGGAGGTATATTTTGCTATGAATAACAACTTCACATAGAGCTGTACCTGGATAAATACAGGAAGTTTTCAAATATTCATTCCTTAAAAATGAATGAAAGCTGCACAGCATTTTCTCCTTAACACTCTCCTTCCTTTTCACTCTTCTTCCACTGCATGTCCTTAATTTTTCAATTCTATTATGTAGGTCATCTGTGGACCACAGTCCTTTTGGGCACACACGTGCCCTGCCATGGAGAATTTCTCTTGCTCTGACCCTTATTATCCTTTCTTTCAGTTTTCCTGCTCCAGGTACAACTTATGTCTAAGGAGCAGACTTCATAATGCTCCTGGCAACCTGTGTCAGTGCTCAGTCACCCAGATTTTCACCACCCATCAATGACTTCTCCATCCCAAAGATGGGCATGGCTATTTAGAATTCAGAAAGAATGCTAAAAGCTATTGGGGAAATAAAGCATGGAGCTATAGACAGAATTTAGAGAAGCCACGGTTGACAATCAACATCCTAGCACAGATCTTGATCTGAAAATATCCTCAGGAAAAGAATATAATAGTCTAATAAAACCCTCCCCTTGTCACATTTCAGTCTCCAACTTCAAGTTCTTCAGACCTCAAACACACTGGCCCAAAGTTGATGTCATTCTTTCTGCAACACATAGTGATGAAGGTGATAATTATAATGGAAAAATGAAATTTCATTTAACATGTAGTATTAACAGTAGAGATTGAGGGCCAGGGAGAAGCAGTGGGTACATAGTGATAGATCCAACCTTGGCATTGGCTCAGCCAACGTATCTGAGTACTTCCCAGAAAGACTTTGGTTACATGGCGAGGTGACCCGAGCAGTTGCTCTTCTTCAACAGGAACCAATGAAAACATTTGGTAAAAGCGTCCATATAATAAGAACTGCGAGGCCACAAATCCACAAAAAGTAATTACTAAGAGATGTCGATCTACGAAAACTGACAATTCCCATAACTGATCAGCCCCTCCTCGTTTATCCTCAGTCCTGTAATTTTTTGCTCTAAAATGCCTGCAGTTATCTGTTCTGCCCCACTGATATACAGACTGCCACTAATGTAGCAGATATTCATTCAGAGCATGTGAGCTGTCACTGCTTTCATGTTTCAGAAGTACTGTGTAATTCAAGGAGTTGAGAGAATGTGATTTTACAAAGGACTACTTAAGAAAATTCATGATTATTTAAAACTCAAATTTAATGTATTGTTCTATTTTCTTTTTACCCTTCAGATAACTTCAGTCTTTATACTGTAATATAATTTGGTGCTGGGGAATGGAATGAGTAAAGATATAAGTTATTTAGTCATTCAGATCTGCTAAATGAGAAATAATGGCTTCAAACAAGGAAGGGACATTATTAACTGCTCATAACATATGCTCTTACAGATTATTATCATTCCAGCAACCTTTCCATTAATTCCTCTTCCTGACTATCTGGACCGAAAGCGATGTCTGATTTTTACCAAATTCATCAAAGTGCTCCTGGAGTCATCATTTCTCATTTACAGTGTGAGTGCTCCGTTCAGCCAGCACATCTGTCATGGCTGACACCAGGCGATGAAATCTTACGGCTCTCCATAAGGCGTCTAAAAGCAAGGAGAACGGCGCACCGTGTGATGCTCGAGGAGCTACAAGTCTATAAAAGTGCATTAACTCTTGTGCTGTCACTCTCACGGAGGCAGTGCAGACCTCAGCAGTGTTGCATTGCCTGTGGGCTCAGGTGTTTGCAGTGATACCTGGGATGTTTGTGACAGGACGGACATCGGGGAGTCTGGATCATCAAAACTTCTCTTCCAGAGCTTGGAGCGGTCTTGGGCATGATGAGCCCTGCTGATCTCACATGGGGAATATTTAGGGAATGGAAGAGATGATCAAGGACACACACACACAGCATAAAATCCTGGAGGTGCAATAAAACTGATGCAGGGCAACCTGACCTTACAGCAGTAGTAAGGGAATGAAAGCAGATAACCAATAAATGAAGCCAAATGGAGCAAGGAGGAAGCAATGTCCAGTAGGCAAAGTTAGCATTTCTTAAAAATCAAACATAAGGCTTTTGCTGGAGGTAGACCACGTGCCTAACGCAGACATATCCTGCAGGTATCTCTTGGCTGTTGTAGGTGGAATTCAAGTTTTATCTTTGGCAGCAAGACAGATGCGATCTGCTAGAATCAAACACCTCAGCTGAAAGGCTGTGAGTATCCCAAGGCTTGCAGAGCACTGCTGTACTTCGTTGGCAACCTGGGTTAATACACCACAGTTAACTGTTTTCTTCTGTTGTCCTTAGACATGAAAAGCAGGAGAGATGAGCCAAAGGAAAAGAGTGCAGACAGTATGGTTAATAATGTGGAAGTTGTTTTCTGAGACTCGCAATAACAAAGAATTTAGGCATATTTAGACAAAGCAGCCTAGTTTCACAAGTGGCAGCTTTGGTTGCATTTTCTCTGTGTGTGTTAGTGAAAACCAGTACATGAACACAGCAGTAGTGGGTGGTCCAAAGGAGACCATACCCTGCTTTGGTGCCTGCATGAACCATTTATGGTCATGGAGCCACGAACACCCTTCCTTTTCCTCACAAAAAGCAAAAAATAAAGAAAAAGAAAAATCACCAGTACTTAGAAAACCCCCTCAGAATGTAGGGGATGCGTTTAACAAATGCTATACCAAATAGGTGTCTGAGAAAGTGCTTACGAGAGTTGAAGAGGAGCTTTTAGTGACGTGATGGCACTGAGATTTTCCTCAGGGAGCACAAAGAAACCAAGGGCACATTCCCACCAATATCCTCAGCTTCTGTATATTAAATCCATGCAGCAATGCTCAATAAACAGATTGGTCAGCAGAGGGTTAATGCTTTCAAAGTCCTTATTGCAAGCTAACGCTCACATGCTTCAGACATTCCAGCATCTTTCCTTGTCTACTTCTAATTTCCTAATAAAACTGCTGACATTAAAAGCTGATTTTGGAACAACTTTCAGTGGGGCTCAGCAAAATTGTTTTAATGACTAGCTTCTGCTTGCATGTGTGCTGGTGTGAGTGCATGAGGCTGGAGACATGCAAGCACATGGATCAGCAGGATTTGCACAGCACATCACTAAAACAGGAATTAGTGGGGTTTAAATATATATACACCTTTTAAAACTTATTTTTTTATCTCAAAAGGACAAAAAATATCCTGATAATCCAGTAAGAAGGTGGCTTCAATAGAGGTGCTTAAAAGGAATTCTGAGATCCCCAACTACAAGAAATGTGCTATTTCATTTATACATTGTGAGCTTCCTCATTTTTTTCTTAGCCCTCCTAAGGCTAGGCTCCAAAGCTGTTGTCATTCCTTGTCACTTCTCCTTACCTATATTAGAATTTGAACAAACAGACAGCTGGCATATAGAAAATAGATGGAAAATTCTTGCTGTTTCATGTTGCTGCCTGAAGGCACCCAAATTTCTCCATCCAGCACATCAATGACCAGAGCACCCCATAAATAAAGGGCAAAGCAGAAACAAGAGGAGAAGAAGCACTGATAAAAGGCAGAATACAAGTCCCTTTTAGCGTCTCAATTCATCACATGTCAACAGGTAGTAGAAGAGGGCAGGAAGAGAGTCCTATTATAGAATCACAGAGACATAGAATGGCTTGGGTTGGAAGGGACCTCAAGGATGATCAAGTTCCAACCCCCTGCCACAGGCAAGGCTGCCAACCACCAGATCAAGTGATAGATCAGCTTGCCCAAGGCCACCCCCAGCTTGGCCTTAGACACCTCCAGGGATGGGTGTATGTTAATGTGTTATTAAGAGAGCAAAAGAGATAAAACTCCTATCCTGCCCTGGGCCACAGCTCACATTTCTCCTTGTTTCTGTGGCTTGTTGTTTCAGGGACACTGCAGCAGCCCCGGTCATGCACCAGCACATGGCAAGATGAGGTTGGTAGCGAGGTCAGCCATGCTGTCAAGGCTGCTCAGCCTCTGTGCAGATGGCCAGGAGCAACAGGTTTGTGCTCAATCTCACTATCCTTCTATCCTTCACTGCAGCAAGACCCCTCCAGCACCTGATTTCATCTGCTTGATCAGCACCACAGCATCTGCTCCCACTAACTGACTGAGGTGGGGCTGTATGGATACAACTGCCCATAACTTCTTGTGTTTGACCCCCAAGTTTTATTTCCATTAGGTTGCACTTGCTCTCTACATGGTGCCATCTTTGCCTGGTAAAACTAAAGAGCAGTAAATTGCACTTTAAAGAACTATTGGGTAGACTTAAAAACAAACAAACCAAAAAACCCAACTGCACAATTTCATTAAGGAGATGGAAACGATGTAGCGTACTGAATCCTATACAAAAAGCAAACAAATAAGGTGTAGAAATCTTTGTGTCAATCAAACACTGACAGCTTATGTATTTCCATGAAAATACAAGCATAATTCAGCCAGAAAAAGTAAATGGTCGCAATATTCTCACTTTGTGTTTTAAATACCTCATGCAATCAGGAATCAACCTCACAGATTGATTTAGCTAGCTGATTACATATAAAATATGCTTTAAAAAATTCCAATTCTACTGTGTCTTTCACCTCTGATTCCAACAGCTGTTTATTTTCCTTCAGAAGAAAAAACGTTTTTACAAACAACTGAGAAGACCAAATTATCATTTTAAGAAGCAGAACAACAACAAAACCATAACGTTTCTCTCTTTCAGGATGGAAAGCATCACGCACTCAAGCTTCACATTCTTTTTACACTACGCTACAAGATGGGAACAGAGGTCACAGAAATTGCAAGTTGTCTCACCTCAGTGCAAGGGAATGAAAAAACAATAATCACACAATGGACAAAATCAAAAGGTATGAAGAACAAGAGGAGATCCTATGGGTAGACAAACATCAAAGCCAAGCATAAAACACTATGTTGAGTATGTAAGTAGTTAAGTAACAGCAAACTGGTCCTTAGCTGCTGAAATGTGAAAACGCACATTTAATAACGCAGGACATATTGAGATGTATAATGCTTTTTTCCTAGTTCAACCTAATAAAAATTCCCATAAAACTACTGGCACATATCCTGAAACAAGGCATTGATCGAGAATTCAGAGATGGCAAGGACATTGTCAGGACACAGGGTGGAACTGTCAGGTCATGCCACGCAGAGACAATCTGTCTCTGTGACATTGTAGTGTGCTCTGTGCATGGGTGAGAGGCACCGACGCCTTCTATTGCGATTGAGCAAGGCTCCAAACCATGACTTCCATGATAGCTTTAAAGCAAGATGGAGGAAGATGGCATGGGGAGAATATTGTACAACAAGTGGAGGAAAAAAACCTGGCAAAACATACATTGGTTATCAGAGGGTGACACGTCAAATGTGACAAAATAGATCCCACTGTGATTTTATCTGGGGGCAGAGAAGAAAACATAAGCATCAACACCACTTCAGTTTATCTGTGGAGCATTCACTTCTACTGTAAAAACGGTTCCTACCAGTGGCCCATTTCACATTCCAGGAGGTCACCAACCAGCAGCCCAGGCTGCCCAGAGCCACATCCAGCCTGGCCTTGAATGCCTGCAGGGATGAGGCATCCACAGCCTCCTTGGGCAACCTGTGCCAGTGCCTCACCACCCTCTGGCTGAAAAACCTCCTCCTAAAATAGGTGGGGATGGAATTGTGCCTGATGACTCTTCTTGTGACAATAAAAAAAGGTAAAAATATGATTATTCCACAATAGGTTGATCTTGTCACCTGTTCCAGATCCTGTTAATATAGATACATAATAGATGTGATCGATTCCAGCTTTGACCAGAAGGAAAGTAGCTGCAAATGCTGGCCAAAGGAGTAGCTTTGGTTTTATTTTAGGAAGCTGAATGCTTCCAGACACCAGCAGAAATTGTTAAACTACTTGTCTCATCAACATCACCAGGAATGAAAGGAAACAACAGTGAATTATGACTATCAGCTAAGGTATTCACAAATAGCAGAAAGTGAATAAAATAATCTCATAGCTTGCAATGCCCCTGCACTCCATATGCATCAGAAACATGTCTGACTAAAGCAGGAATAACTAAAGTGCCACCAATTTAAGAATGAAGGGAAAAAAAGAATTCTCCTGAATGATCTTCAATTTTCTGGTTATTTTTAGGGCATGACATGGGACAATGAAAATACCAGAATATTTGGTCCAAATGCTTACTTTTCAAATTCGAGGGGAGTGGAAAAGAGAGGAGAAAAGTGAAACAGAAAAAGTATTTCTGGGAGTGATCAAAGTTGGTTTGATTTTGTAGAATCAAAATAGACCAATCCATTCATTTTATATTTCTATAAACAGGAACAAACCCTCAATCTATATGTTTAGGAAAATCATTATAGCAGTCAGTGTGGAATATTTACGGAATTGGTTTCTGAAAAACTGATAATGCTGGCAACCATTGTAGTAGCGCTTTAAGTAAAATGTGCATTCAAATAATGCAAGCAAAAAAGATCAAAAAGGTGATCATTTCCCTGCTATATTACAAAAGGCAGCATTTTATTCTCTTTATTGCAGAAGCACTTGCAAATTACTGAGTATGAAACAGTTGTACGAAGCTTTTTACAAGCACACACTGCAACATAATACGATATCACATGAATTTAATGGATGTTTATTAAAAACAGCACCAGCACTTAGTTCTTCTTATCCTTAGCTGAATGGTTTTTTTCCTCATAGATTATGCCATCTCTTAGAAAAGCTACAAAAAAAATGCATGGTGACAGTTCTTTGAAGACACCTGCATGTTTGTTCACAAAAAGCCTTAAATGTGCAACTTGATAGAAAAAGAAAAAAGAAAAACGATTTCATATTCTTAAAGTTTTCTATCTAGATAACAGGGGATGGCTTCCCTTTATAACAGCATTTGGAAAAAAAAATGACTATTATCGTCAGATTACGCTGTGCTCCCAAGCACTGTGCATCAGTGATAAGAAGCTGCTTCAGTTTTACCAACACGCAGCAGTTTGCTACCTTGGACAATCACTGCAACTACTTTATTCACGCCCTAATTAAGCCCTATTTTTGAAAAGAATTAGTGATATTGTAAACAATCATCAAAAATTTTTAAACACAGTCACTACCATTAGCTATGCACTGTTGCCAGCAATGAACAAGAGCCTGTATGCTGTCCTTGTCAAAATCTGCCCAAGTAGAGAATTATGGTGAAATTTTGCTCTTCCTGTGCTTCACCCTTCAAAATAGTTCTTGTACATAATGCCAAAGAGTGGTGAAATGAGGGATGAGTCTCTCTGGTAAGAGAGGGCTTATGAAAGCCTAGTAGAGAGGCATGATCAGACTTCATAGAGTCATTAAGATTAGAAAAGATCTCTAAGATCATCTAGTCCAATGGTTCACCTACCACCAATACCACCCACTGACCACGTACCTCAGTGCCACATTTCCATGGTTCTTGAGCACATCAGAGGACAGTGACTCCACCACTCCCTGGGCAGCCTATGCCAAAACCTCACCACTGTTTCAGAGAATAAATTTTTCCTAACATCCAACCTTCAGAGTTGAATGTCTGATTGCAGCTCTATGCATTCGATTTGGAAATTTACAGCTAATGTATTTAGGTTGACTGAGTGCACTGCTGGTTGGTTGGTGCTGAGGGCTGGGCCAGGCTGCTGGCTCCTGCAATGGTGTGGGGCAGGGGATGCCCATAGGGGAGCTGGGCTGGGCCAACCTGCAGGTTGGACATGCCTGCCTCACCTCACAGGGCGAGGTGAAAGAACGTGGTCAAAACCTTGCGCTTACTTCAAGAAATATCAACGCAAATCAAAACAAAAACTGTTGTCTGATCATTGCTGGAAGAAGATAATGTGCAGAGCCAAGAGCACCAAGCATCAAATGGCTTGGGTTGAAAGACACCTTAAAGATTATCCAGTTCTAACCCCATGCTGCAGGCTGGGAAGTCCCCCATCAGCTCTAGCTGCCCTGGCCTTGGGTACCTTCAGCAGCAGGGCACCCAAAGCTCTGGGCATCCTGTGCCAAGCGGTGAGGCACATTCATATTTAAGTCTACTTAGACTTAAGTCTACAGACCCTTATTCTTGTGACATTGCCAAACGGTTTTATAGCATCCACAGCGTCCTCAGAACTGTGTAATGTGTGAAGAAATTCTGCTTCTCATTTGTCTTGAACAGAGCATCTGCTGGTTTCACAGAGCTTTTCACAGTGAGTTTGGTCCAAGCTAGTAAAGAAGCACTCCAAAGCACACATTCCTGATGCAGCATTGCCCTGGGAGATGCTGTGCCAATGCATCCATGCCTCCTGCCTGTGCCGTCTTCAGGTTCCTTCTAAACACAGATTTCCCCTTCACCTTTTGGCAGGAGCCATTCTAGCTGACGTTTCCTTACTTCACCTCCACCTCTCTGCGTGATTCCCCAGCAGAACAATGTTTGCAGCTTTTCATGTCATTGCTGGCTTTGTCTGTTGTCACCCTGGTGGGCAGGGAAGTGACTGAACCTGCAAGCCCCAGCCCTCCCTGACATGCCTGGGCACAAAGAAAACAGGAGCTTTAAGCAAATCAAATCCAGCCCCCTGCTGCCATCAGACAAGGGGACACAGGGCTCATCCATTCTCATCGCTGCGTTCATGACACACAGGTAGCTCTCCTCTATTTTCTTTCAATCCCTTAGAAATGGAATACAAAGCAAAACACAGACTCTCCACTGCGTGTACTATTCTGTTATAAATCAGACGGAGAAAAGTCTTTCCCTCCAGCTATGCAAGCTGCAAGGATGTCTAGAACAGAGGGAGAATGATTTTTAACACTTCTATCTTTTGCATCAGGTGGCTACACTGCATACCTATGGCCTCAATCCTCCATGGGAACCAGAACTTGGCCTGCTTTGGATGGACAGTCTCCTCATTGAGTGCCTGTCCAGCTCATGTGAACCCTCTCTACTTAAAGGAAGATAAATATTTCCAAGAGGAAAAATGAATGGCTTGACACGTATTCCAAATGACAACAAAAAAATCCACAAAAAGAAGATTTTGTGTATGCATGCACTGCAGATTTTTCATTTACTGCAGATCAAACCAACATCTCCAAATGCAGCTGCGGGCTATTTATTGGCTGAAGACAGTTGTTTCATAGCACATTTTCCGTTTCAGAAATTTGGAATTTTCTGGTTGAAAGTACCAGGCTGAATAATAATGGGTTTTCTGCAATCTCAGCAGGCATTACAAGGATTTGGGATCTCCAGATCACATTGGTAGCTATCCAGGACTATAATCTACTCATGCTGCTGCTAAAACTGAAAAACCAGAGCTTTCAGCAAACTGTGTTCCCTTTCTCTAAGAAACTGGGAAGGAATCTTCAGCGTGAATGAAAAGTCTCCAAAAAACCCCAAAGATCACAAGATCTACCGCTGAGAGTTTCTGAGCTGTTTTCTGTTCTTCTACATAGAGCTGTATGAGTAAACCTGGCTTTGGAACTTAAATGAAGCTTTAGACATTTCTTTTCAAAGTTTGCACTTCTCCAAATTCAGTTTTAAATGATTCAGTCTTAAAATAACTGTGAAAACTAAGACTATCAACATTTAAGTGGTTCTCCTTGGAATAGCCAGGAGCTCTCCTCTGCAAAGCTGCTATAAAAAGCTGCTAGAATTGTAAGAGCAACATAAAGCCAAGGTTCCTGGATGTTAAGTTTTGCAATATTTTCTCTAATAAAATATTGAAGGAAAAGATCTAAGTTGTTGAAAAGAGTTTCTATCAGATTTTAATGGAAACAGATACTTGAGTTTAACATCATCAGTTCTTTACAGCACCTGTTCCTATGTGATAGGAAAACACATAATTGCTGCATCTGGCTGGGT